AATAATCGTCCATAAATTCTAACCTAAACCCAATTGTATGTTCATGCATTATAATTGATTTTTTATAATAAAATGTTCACGATTAACTTCATGTCAAACTGTTATTACTCACGACGGCTGCGTGATCAGTACAATTTATACCGTCTCAATCACGTACACAATCGAGACACCTTAGAAAATTTAAAATATCTTAATGTATCTTCTAATTTTCATACATTTTACGAACAAAAAACAGTTCAACACATTTGTTTTAAATTCAGGGTTGATCAGACTTAACCGTATTTCCACTTCGCACCCCGCATCCATGTATCGCTCATTTTTCAGGAAACATTTTGAACGTTCAATGTTATAATTAATAATGAAACAATAAAAAATTCAATTAAAATTAAAAACTAGTAAAGATTCTCGTGTTTCGGTCAATTATATATCGCGTTTATAATATACTTACATCGATGATAAAACATCTACGCTGCGCAGCAACACAACCCGTAATGTTTGTTGCATATCCGTCTCCCCCGACGGATCACGGCGTACACGTACGTAGAAATCGGTTGTTTCTTTAATTTTTCTCCACCCATTCATCCCGCGAACCAAAACGCGCATGTGACCATTAAACTCGTTTAGAACAACGTAATTTATGAATTAACGTGTGCGCGTATCCGTACACGGGATATGCGTAATACATGTTTGAACGTTTATAAACGACGATTATTTTTTTTTCCTAACCGTACGGCAGAATAATCTCACCTCCTGTTTAAGACAAGGATTGCCCAGAGGGTGGTAGTCGCGGCAGTACATAAATATACGCGCGGCTGCCGCACGCAGTGTCACGCAACACGTACCCACCGAAATGACGACTGCCGTACACATCGTATAATAATAATATACACATTTCGACGTGATACGATACCTTACGCGGTTGTGTTTGCATTCCAACGCGATAAAGTCTTGTGCGACTTGTCTCCTCCTTTTATATATCCCGTACGATTTATGAAGTCGCACGATTCCGCGGGCACGCCGAGACGCGTTCAACCCGTAATTAATTATAATGCGCTTGCGATATTGCACCGTTTCGATGCAGCATTCGTGTGTACGAGCCGCGCGACGAGTGCGCTTACGATTTTTAATTTTACGCGTAACGAATGTATCTATCCCCGAGTGCCTGTCCGGTTTATCCCGTCGAAGAGATCAAAGCGGTCGGTAGGCCAAAAGTCCATTTCGTCTCGATGGGCGTGTTCCTATCCCCCATTCGTTTTGTGGTTCGCGTCCGTAGAACCAGAAGTGTAATGAGTCGAAAAAAAATAATTTTCGTTTCGTTTCACTCGTCTCCAAGAGCCAACGCAGTACCGCACGTTACAATGCAGTTCAACTCGAACGAGACGATCGCAATAAAATTTGTATTCCGTCCAGAGCTTGTTAAAATATGACGATTGACACTTCACTACGGACGGATTGTTGAGCTTCTGTACTACTGTTATTTTTTGCACGGCAGCAATAACCGACACAAGTGCGGTGATCGTTACGTAAACCTGTGCGCGCACGGGCTCCGGAGTTGGTAACTGCGGTACAATCAACAATAACGGTCGATATTTTATGATGCTCTCGGGTGACAAGGGTAAAACGTAATTTTCGCGTCACGTGATATTACATTCGGTTCGTCCGCCGAGCCGCGGACAGCCGCACGAACTCGCAGTGATCATTTCCTTCGAAACGTTTAACGTGGTTGATTGTTGATTATTCGAATCCGGTGAAAACCTGAATACGCATCCCTGCGTGCGCGCGTCGTATCCCTTAAACGCGTACCTACGATTTATTCCGCGATGTGTACACGTACGTGTTTGCACACGAGCTATTACCGACCCCCGGGAGATGAATAATAATAATGATAATTGTGATATATCGCATTGTTGTAACAAAAGTGATCGCCCGGACCGCGTCGTGCGTGTTAGCGGATACCGGTTTGGAACTACTAACGTCGCGTGGGGGAGGCTGACCAATTTCGCAGTCGAGGCGGTCGTCGTGCGTGTGTGCACTCAAGCACGTGCGACGTCGTTTCGCGAACAGGGGACGGGAGACGAAAAAAAAAAAAAAAAAAATGCTAAAATAATAATAAATAAACTGAAAACATGTTACGCTATTATTCATCGGAATACGATAGTAATAATAATAATAATAATAATATATAATATATTATTTTACGTACAATTATGCACATTATAATATATACGCGCGCAGGATGTCGAACGTGTGGTGTGCACATTGTATAACCAGTTTTGGCGCGCGATATCACGTGTTCGCGGACTGGAAACGCTCGAAACACTGTTGTTCGCGACAATAGACGGTTTTCGTGGGGCGGCGAGGGCGGATGATGCGATAATGCGGCGAGCGTTCTCGTTTTTTTTTTCTTTTTTTTTTCTATAAATATTTTTTTATTGTTCGCCGTTGTTATTGTCACGCGAGGGGCACGTGCCCTCGTTCGCCGCCCTCGCCTTCTTACACGTGAGCCTAAATTTTAACGGTAAAAAAAAAATCCCGCGAGCCGCCCGCGCCCGCGGTGATCCGAAAAAAAAACGGTGAAAAGATTTGTTCGTTCGCGCGCGCGTGGTATAACGGTCGCGATTACAGCTGCAGCACTTCGTCCGTCGTGTTGTCTATATTGCTGCGCCCGTCGTATCATCCGTACGCGCTCTTATCACGCCCCGTCGGACGCCGTACGTTCGCGTTACCGCGTTCGGTTGCCACTCGCATCGCGGTGCCCTAATTCTCGAATCGTCGACCGGTCGCGTTTCCGACGCGCTGGACCGAACGGTTTTCGTACATCGCATTTTTCTCCCCCGGCGACGTACACCCCCGACGAACTACGTATCGCCCGTAGGTTAGCCGTGCTACAAAGTACGAAAATAACGGTTTTCCAGTTGTCTTGTTCGTTTTGGTGGGCTCCTAAAATGGTACGTTCGAGTTGCTCGTCGAGCGCTTGTTCGGCGGTATCGTATAGTTTTTTTTTTTTTTTTTTTAAACGACTATCCCAATTTTTCACGACGGCTCCCGATGCGCGGAAATCTTATACGCGGCGTACATAATATTGTAGACGTTCGAAAATTTAGCCGCGAGCGAACACTCGATGTTGTGTTCGTACAACGTATAAGTACCCGTTTGTGTTATCAACGGAATAACGTGGCTGATGACACGTTTTCAGCGGTCAGATCTTGAAGATCACAATTCACACGGGTAATTAATTTATTGATTATATTAATTTTATTTTTAATTCATTTTTCATTGTAGCCGTCTATAAAATTTCTTGTGTACGTTTTATTCGAAACATAGATTTTGCTTTTTTCATTTTGTTATTTTCGAAACATTCAACGCAACTCCGTTTGCTGCTCCCACTTTTACGCTGTTCTGAAAGTTGTTAATATCACTACATTTCGAACCCCGAACCGAGTACCGTTAACACTTTTCAAGAAATCAGTACACAATACGGCTCTTCAACTGCAGCTATACCGGTGCCAGAGGGTTAATTGTTGTTGGGTCGGACGCGAGTGATCGTCGATGTACACCGTATTGTTATTATGCTCCCTCGATTTTATAACGCGTCATGGTGCACGTTTCCTGTAAATGAAATATTTTTTTATTGATATCTTTAAATCACCCCCCGTTTTAATGTAGACCGGGCAACCGGAAAAATGTGACCATTATAATATAGTACTTATACGTGTCTTATAACTGGTCATTATTTAATTTTTATTATTGTCTTTTTTTTATGTGAATATATATATACATTTTTGTATACCATTCTATAGGTATATCAGGTACCTACGTCTAACAACCATAATGTGGTGATAATAACACTGACTGCTACATTATGTATATGATTACGCCGTATAACAGTTTAAAATCACGTTGGCCGCATTTAATTCATATATTTACGAGTAACCCAAGACGTACTGATACGCAAAAAGTTATTAAACACACAGGTATCTGTTTATCAACTTTTTATCGACTCTGTGTTATTCCGTCTGTTGGCAATTCTTTCCGATCGTACCTACGTATTATGCGTACGGTTATCGATCAGACGAATCATCATGTACGAACACTCTTGTACCAATATCGTTGAGTATAAGCGAGCTTGATTCAATGGTAATTATTTTATTTATTGAACTTCTCGATATTTCTTCTTAGAATGAAACATGTATCATTCGAATGAACGCTGGCTAATGGTTTTGTCGACATTCCATAAAACACACAATTTCATAACGTAAAACGCGTCTTAGATCAATTGTCATATTAAAGATACGCCTATAATTTGCCGTAACAGATTATTTGTGGTACTAAGGATTTGTAGATTGTAAATAATATAAGTGGTACAATGTGCCCATGCATACGTTAGAATTGAAATAAAATGTTGGTAATAACCTCTTTCGAAAACTAAAGAAATATAATTTTTTTTTTACTTAAAGATTCATTGAACATATTATTCCTTAAAAAAATCTACTGTTTAGACAAACATAGTGTAATTTTGGTTATTACCAAGACCATAACTGATACTGTAATATAATAACGTTTACCTCCTGTTACAGTTTTTTTAGATGACACGGATTTATGTATTATACAATTTTTTTTTTTTAAAAAAAAACATAATTATACAGTTGAAGCTTTTCCGTGATCAGGTGCCGATGATTTTCTACAAACTTGGTACCTAAAATGTATACACGGATCTTAAATACGTATGGATACAAGAGAAGCATTATAATTATTGTATGAGCTCAGAACTAATATTTAAATTGGCTCGGGTGTCTGTACACGACTTCGCTGTTTAAGAAGTGTACACATTTTGTTTGCTTGATTTGTATTCCCTTGTCGGCACACTTATTGTTATGCCTACGTTTGTAAAGTTGAAGGAGACGTTTGTTTGGTCCACACAGGTGGAATGCAGTTTTTAACTTAGCTGTCTTTCGATTTTTTTCAATTGTATTGTATTCATTCTTTTTTTTTTTTTTTAGTGTAAAGCTGTTTGCAGTATAAATAACAAGACATTCAATTGCCAGCCAAATTAATAGAGACGTTGTCGAAAAACTGGGTTTTCTGAATAAGGACATCGAGTGTTTTCAGTGATAAGATCCGTGAAGAGAATTCCAAAGAAACATTTTACGGGATCGAAACCCAATTAAATCCATTAAAAAAAAAAAAACAAATGTGTTGTTTCCTGCATTATGTCGCAATTGACTTCGATGCGTTGTGCACGTACACACAGCTTCGACACTTTAGATTTATTGATCGATTAAACATGAAAAGTTTCGATAAATATTTATATGCATTTAAATATAATATAATATGTAGGTTATAGTTGTAACGAAAAATTAATATTTATTAACTTACCTGTACGGGTACCGTGGCATCTAAACGGCATGTATTATAGAAAATCCTTCGGGAGTCCGACGCAAAATACAGCCACTGGACGTACGGATCATTAAATAGAATATGTAATGCTGTGTACGATAATATGATGTACAGAAAAACGACATGAATGTATATTTACAATTATTTTATAATAATATTTATTCAAACACCGGCCGGTACAATATGTTATACTGGAACCCAGGAATGACGAACGCGCACTCGAATACGACCACGGGTAACGTATACATATCTTGTGTCGTATTATGTTTCGTCACACAGCCGCACTGCTAGGACGGCCATTATTGTACACCGTACTTGTACTTATTAAAAACATGTAACGGATGTGTGTAAAACGCTGTGTTTGAATTGGTTTCATCGTTGATTTGAAATATTATAGCATTCGTAGTATGAATAAAGCCAGACGAAATAAATAATTTAATGCTTTTTTTTTCCGTGGCATGAAATATGTGTACGATTCTTTTACTTGAATTATATTAAAAAATACAACGACTTAGGACTCGAAATCATTCTCAAAACGTACAAATATGAATCGGTTTCGTGTTTGTAATGCCAATACACTCATATCCGTGATCTACATCAAATCAATAAATATATATTCATAGCATTGTACTAGTATCGTTATAATCGTCGCACCTCGTGTCGTTATCGATCAATCATCTTTTATTTCACTTCGTACCTCGTAAGGAATGAAATAGCATAATTTGATACAGATACCACCAAAATGGCTATGTCGTTAATGTATAATCCACTAATAATAATTCCATTATTTATTGATTTGAATATTAAATATCGAACTAATCGAAACTCAGACATAGTTATTACTTACTGCCGTGTAAATTTTTTTTTATCTAGTTTTGTTCCATCAAGGTAAATCATTGGTACAAACCGAATTGGGTGAGCAGCAATATAATATATAACATAAATAGTAATAAATAAATAATATTATGTTCACATGAAATTTAAATGGTATTTGACAACGTGATGTAAGGACGATAATATTAAATCATGCGTGTTCAACGGAAAAACGATTAACCACAATTTCAACATGTTTGTATGAAAATAATTCAAATACATTAATTATAAGTTAAACTGTTAAAATGACGATCATAACCACATTTATCCACCATCTTGTTTCACAGTTACTTTGAAATAATATTTTTGGTATTTTAATAGTATTTTTGTAGTATTTTAATGTAATTTTTTACTTATATATATTTTTATAATTTTTAATGATTGTTAACAATTCAACCATATAATAAACATAATTAATCAAATTAATTATTTTATAACATTGTAGTTGTAAATTTGAATTCGATATCATTATACATAGTATTAAACACGTTAAGCATGAATATTTTCTAATGTTTGAAAATGGCATTGTGTGTAATTTTGTCTCGGATCGCAACATTATTATACTATAGCGGTGCACAGAAACTTACGTTACTAAAAGCGTAAGTACACCCTTGAGGATTGAACGATTCTATTTTTTCGGTCGAACTTTATTGCCAATAAATCATAGAATAGTAAACAGAATGATCGATAAAATGTCAATTACAATACGCTAAAGTACCAGATATGGATGTTATTGAATATAGCCTAAATTATACAAACTCATAAGTAGCCAATAATTACAATGGCGATACATACATTTTATTACTTACAATAATTGACGTTGGAATGCCGAACGCGTCTAGAGAATCGTTGAGGATTCACGCAATTAATCGCTTCTACATGAAATCCAAAGGTTAAACTCGATACAGCACAGTTGAAACTTTATTGTTTAAAAATTGTTATTAGTAATTATTAAAATATTACTATTATTATTATTATTATTATTTTTTTTTTTTGTTATAAAAAATACAACTGTTATGAAATTCGGTAGATTTAATCCCCGTTTAATTCGTAATTATCATACACGTAAAATCTAATCCCCGTTTACCTTTGTTATTACTACAAATTAACTTATAAATACACGTGGTACTGTCAGTGCCAGATCTAAGAAATTTGACGCCGAAGACTAATAAAAATACTCCTTACGTGAGTAGAAATACGGGGTACGTCTTGACTTTTTTTATTTTTCATAAGCTTAAGAATGCCTTAATACCAATAGCGCTGCCTGAGGCCAGTATACCCATGTGTCCTCTCCCCCTAGATCCGGCACTGGATATTGTATTTGTATTCAGAATGCAAGCGAAGTTTCAATAGAAACGATAGAGCATGTTTAACAGATATTACGACTTATAATACGATTTTTGCGATTTTAAGTTTTTTTTTATTTATTTTTACGACTTAAAAAAAAATCGTCGTCGTACGGGCGATTTACAATACGAACAAGCATTTATCGAGAATTTATAATCGGATTCGTTTTTGTATCCTAAAATCATAATGATATCTAAATTATTTTAGATCATGCGGCTGTCTCAGGATCGTGCGTGTATCGTATAGTATTTTATATTATGTTGCGTATAAAATTACACCTGCGATGAAATCATGTACCTAATCATATACGCTAACCATTACATAAATCGTACACTCTCGTAAGATACCAAAGATAAATAAGTTTTGCATAAGTACGCATATCGTTTTAATTGAAAGCCACAATTAATCGCAATATTGTTTTCGATTATCATCATCTTTATTGCCCACTCGTGTCGGTTTTGTTATTGCCGTATACATTATAACGTATTCCTTACATAAAACGGTATTTACGTCATTAAATAAAGAGAAAAAACATGTATATTTATTATAATGTGCACACTATAATGTTTACGCCTATTATATTCAATTAAAGTTATTTTTATTTATTTTTATTAATCGCAGTGATTGGAATAAAAAATTGCTCATCTTCAGAGTATTCGCTTTTATCATTAGTACATAATCGTTCGTATACGGCATTGAAACGTGTACAGCGTAGTTAGCGCAGATAAAATTCATAGAAAACTGCTTTCATGTCGTCCAAACACGTAAACATTATTGTTCAACGAGCAGAAAAAAAAACATTGCGTTTCGTGATACAACTTCAGCGATGACTTTTTTAACGTGAGAATATTGTGAACACGAAAAAGAAAAAAAATACTTTGACGGAAAAGCGTACCATTTTCGGGTGTACATATAATAATAATTACGCCACCAAAATTAAAACATTGCATCACGGCTGGGGACAAAATCAAGAGAAAAAAATTTTTCTTTCTCGGCATTGATATTTCGTTGAAAACCGTTAGAAAAAAAAAATTAAAAAAAATAGTAATAACGTTTTATACCGAAAACCGGAAAGAAAAAAACAAATCACGTCAACAGCGTTACCTGTACACCTGCGCTTCTGCAGCAACGTACTTAAACAGACGGCCTTTTCCCCCGTCCGGTGGGAGGGGTGGCGGCGGCGGCGGCGGTAGGGCCGATAAGAAATCCGATGTGGGAAAAGAGAAGGGAATCTTCGTGCGTTAATTGCGGCGAAAAGAAAGAAAGAAAAAAAACTTGTTTGCCCCACACCAAAAAAAGTATTACAGTAACCGAGTTCTGCTGTTGCTTCTGCGGCGGTGGTGTCGGTGGCGATCCGATAGGGAAATGAGATATTATTATAATGACGCCCGCACGGATTTATGAACTGACAATAATGTATCGATATTATTCCCGAGGCCACCCAAACTGGCTACGCCATTACGCCGATTTCCAAAACGGACGACCGGCGACGACGACGACGACGGGGGCGTCCGATTCGAATAATAATAATAATAATAATAATAATGATAATAGTAATAATCCGTACGCGCAACACCACGGACCGGACGGGCCAGCGCACACGAATCGTACAACAACAACAATAATAATAATAACAAGCCCGTCGATCGGTATCTGTACCGGGTATTAAACACTTGTTCGTAACCTTGTCCGAACGCGCACCGCTCATTAAAACCGCTTCGTGTACCGCGCGGCGTCCGTGTAATGGAGTAACTGCAATAGGAGCGCCTCGTAATGTATTATACAATGCGGCGCGCGGTCAACTCCGACGACGCCGCCTTCCCGCGGCTTCCGTTTTCGTGGCCCACTTGGATACGCGCGCCCGAGTGTACAAAACCGTACGGCGACCGTGTTCGTAAACCTACGGCGTACGCGTACGTATTATTTACGATGTTACATATTTTTTATTGGCCGCGCGGTGCACGTTCGTTTCGATAACGATCTATCATACGCCGCCGCCGGTGCGCTGCTCGTAACAATACAACGAATGAGCTCCGGACGGCGGTGATTAACGTCCCTTTGATAAGTGTTCCCGGTGCACTGCCGCGACGTGATCGGGGGGACACTTCCGAAACTTCAGGTGTTCGGACGTCGACTTTATCGCTTGCCGCGCGCAATCGGTCGATTAAAAGGTCGCGCGCCCGTTGGAACAGCGCATCGTCCGTCGCGCGGGTGCGGAGATCCTCCGATCGCGCGCGCTTGACGCGTTTCTTGTGAACTTCGGTTCTCTGCGACGATGTCTCTCCAGCGGTGCCGCGGTTATCCGTTCGATGAGTAATCCGCGATTTAAATTGAAATTTTTTCAGGAATAAGTTTTAGAGAACGTTTTCACGTTTTTATGGCGTGGACCGGCGCGAATCGCAGTTAGGCTATAACGGCTATAAAACTGATAATTTTTAAGAGCCCTGCTGATAAATACTATTGTACGCGCCTTATTGTGTACCTTTAGATGGCGCCCAGCGCGTAAAGGATCCGATCCGCGTTGTAAGGATAACGCAGGACGTGCAGGTAATTATCCGCGAGAAGACGTGTAGGCACGCGTCCATAATGGCCGTTTTCGACTCACGTCTAAGGTGTGTAAAACGTGTCGGATTGCAATCGTTGTTACGACAGAGAGCTGCTTCGCAAAGAGATTAAATTTAAGCGATGGCTTTAATTGTGTATAAACATACGTAAATGTTTTATATACATACAAGTATATTTATACTTAAAGCCGACATTGTACCTGCCATCACGGTGCCTACCGTTACGAATTGGTAAACCTTTGTGGGAAAATGTGTGCAAACACTTGGTCCTACACGTCCACTTTCACGCGTTTGTTTTACCGCGGAGTTCCGGACACGAAACGGTCCAAAACCCTTGGAATCAATCTTGAAAGCAAAAACAGCGTTTATTAATCATGCGACATGGTTTCGTTAATATTTTCCAATCGGTTTTATGCGTTCACAAGTATACATTTATTAATATTCATAAATTATATGATATATATATATATATAATATCAAGTTTTTATAGTTTATTTTGCCCGTTCAGTATTTCATCCAATAAATTATGTATACGAATATTCATGCACCTATATTATAAAAACCATAAACTTGTCATTATTCTTAAATTTCAGGCCGGCCATGGAAACGATTTAACACGGTCAACGAATTCCACATCAATGACGACAGTCCGATAGATCCTGTACATATATTATTATTATTTATATTCGTTTGGTCGTTTCGGAAACAGAGGACCGTTTTGTCGAAAATTTCAAAGCCTCCATAACTTTGACACGCTGGTTTGATTTAAATACTTAAATTTTTTTTTAATTTAAATTTATTATAAAACATGATAGGTGCTGGGTTCCTTTACGATTTTCCCAAACGCTGGTGGCAAAAAACCACATGTAAGAAATCACTTTCTCTCTCTCCAATTGTACGCAGCGTCATGAACTCTGTCATCTGAACTGTGAAGCGTCGCCGCTACGTCACTGTCTTAACAGTGACACACATTGACTGAGTCATCACGAACCTGCAGCCCGGTGTAATGGTCGTTCGTGGAGAAATTCCTCAACAATTACGTAGCAAATCGTCGAGTTATACAGTAGCGTACGTGCACGCGGATAATTATAAACCGATCGAATATTCCGTAAAAAACCCATGGTAACCCGGCGGTTTCAAATCGATAGTTCGTCGCGGAACCCGTTCGTTCCAACGCGTTTTACGCGTTCAACTATTATCTCGAACGTCGTCGGCTACTCTGCGCTCGCGAGTATGTATAACAGGCGCAAAGTTAGTTCGCGATCCGCACGAGAATCGTCGATTATTATCGACGGGCGCCGCGGGTACGGCTAATCATGTTTGTACAAAACGAAAACGTTTTCCCCCCCCCCC